AGAGGACAGTAGCAGTCTCATGCGTGGTCTTCCAGCCCACTGTTTGACCTTTCTGATCCCTTTTTACCAAACCTAAGCCGGAATCTTCCCACCTCCTCCCTTCTTCGGCACTGACTCCCTGGAGACCCCAAGTCAGTTCACTGCACTTTACCTGGGATTGAATGAACACTCACCAGGACAGGTAAGGTATTGGATGCTGTGGAGACCAAAAGCATGAGTTACAATCAACAATTCAGTCACTTAAAAATTGCATGGACTGGGAGAATGTTCAACCTTTGTGTTACCGACCTTAGAGTCTGATGAAAATGACAGACCCCACTCCCAGAAAAAAAACACAATACAAATAGGTAACTGCAAGTCATAGATACTAACTACAAACTGCGACGCATCCTGTGAAGAAAAGGTCCTGAGAGCCAGAAGAGGATGAATGGAGAGGCCTGACCTGCGTCCCAACCTGGATACCCCTCTTCTAAGCACCAGAGGTTAAGAACCCCCTTCCTGAAGAACGTGCAGCGCTCAGGACTTAGTGTAATGCAGAGAAGGGGGATGCTTCTTGCCAGGGAAACCCTAATCAGGAGACACAATGTCCCTTTGAAATCAGAGTCCTGGATTTGAGCTTCCACCTGCTGGAGGTGTGCCCTTGGGCCAGTCTCGTAACCTTTCTGAGCCTCGCCCATCCTCATCTGTATAAGGGCAGTAAATGCTCCTCCTTTCAGAGAGAGAATGAAATAACCAAGGCGAAGCGCTGGCCGGCAGCGTCACTCAGAGTATCGGGACCTTCTTTGCTCCTTGGCCTCTCCCAGGTTTGCCTGTGTTCCTTTCTTCATATCGCCCCCAAATGAAAGTCCCTTCAGTGCTATCCGGACCCATCTGTCCACTGGGGAAAATCCTATTGCCCCGCCAAGCCCAGAATGCTCGTTTACCCCTGCCCTCTTTTTTCGCTCTGTCCTTACTGTTCATTCATTCATTCACTCACTCATCTCGATGAGAGACTAATTCTCCAGGCTTCTCAGAGTCCTCCCTCTTCTGGACAAGCCTGGAATCTCCGTGTGTGTGTGTGTGTGTGTGTGTGTGTGCGCATGTGTGTGTAGGAGAGGGGTGGGGTGGAAGGAAGTGCTTCCATCTTAGATTCCTTTTCTGTGCCTGGTCCCTTGCAGGCCAGACACATCAGGTCTTTCTGACCTTCCTCTCAGTCCTCACATCTAATCAGCCACCAAGTCCTCTCCAGGCCTCTGGCAAATGATCTTTTTGTTCATTGGCATTGCTGTTCCTCAGGTATCAACGCTTAACTGATGTTTTTCTGGACCTTGGCAAGCTCCTCTTTAATGAATTTTCCAAGCTGTTATCCCACTTCCAATCCATCCTGGACACAGGCACCAAACTTAATTTGAAAATGACAGTCTCTTTTCATCTTTGTGTCTGGGGCATACAACACAGAGCTTAGCTGATAGAAAGTGACTATGGTAGATTAAAGACGGCCCCAGATTCTTTGCTATTGTTTCTATTGCGCAGTGATGTCTAATTCCCTTCGCTTGGAATCTGTGCTCATCTTAAACACTTGCTTACCATAGACTGCGGCAGAAACAAGGTCCTGGGAATTTTGAGACAATTTGGTAAGAGGTCTTGCAGCTTCCATTTAGATCTCTTGGAACACCTTCTCGTAGAGCCATGGGCTACCTACCATGTACAAAGTCCAATTGTTCTGAAGCCACTGGGTTTTCTATGAGAAAACCCAAGCCACATGGAGAAGTCACTTGTAGGAGGGCTGCTCAGCAGGTCAGTGGAGCACACCGAGAGGTGAAGTCGTTTGGGAGTGGACCCTCCCGCATTCTGCTGACTCCATGAGTATCAGAGATGAACTGCCCAGCTGAGGCCTTCCTGAAGTCCCAACCCACAGAATCATGAGCAAAATAAAATGGTTGTTTGAAGACTGTCGGTTTTGGTGTAGCTCATTACAAATCAGTAATAACCAAAATGGGGCTTCCCAGGTGGCACTTGTGGCAAAGAACCTACCCGCCAATGCAGGAGATACAGGAGACACAGGTTTGGTCCCTGGGTTGGGAAGATCCCCTGGAGAATGGCAACACACTCCAGTATTCTTGCCTGGGGACTCCCCGGTACAGAGGAGCCTGGAGGGCTGCCAGCCATAGGGTTGCAGAGTTGGACACGACTGAAGCGACTTAGCATGCACACAATAACCACAACAGTGCTCAAAAACTGCTGAGTGAATAAATAATCCTTTTGCTGCCGGGTGCTAATAGTGTTATTGCCCTGTTCAAGAGCGCTTCGTGGCTCCCTATTGCCTGAGCGATAGTGTTTTGTGCCTTTAGCTGGCATTCAAGGTTCTTCATCATTAGGCTTCAGCCTGCTTTTCAGACCTTACTGTCTGCTCTCACTTGGGGTGGATCCATCCTATAGTGAAGTTTGTTTGAGCTGTTTCCCAAACATACAAACACTTTTTCCAGTGACATGTCTTTGCTTATGTATGCTGCCTTCTCCACCTAAATGCCCTTTCCTCTCGTAGCCTCACCTCCGGAGGTCAGCAATCAATTGTCCTTAGGAGTCAGACGCCTCCTCTGGTTGCCCAGGCCAGCAGGGAGTCGTCCTCCTCTTTCTGGGCCAGGTTTGTTTGCTAGCTTGTTTAGCTCCTCTTTCTGCACGCACATACCCTCTTCTTTCTTAACCTCCTCTCCTGCATTGTAAGCTCCTTGTTTTGGGGAGGGGGTGCGTGAGAGAGGTCCTGGCACCTCACAGGTTACACAAAAATGTCGTGTGTGGCGTCCCAGGTATGGATCCTCGCAGAGCGTGAGTCGAGCTTGGGCAGCGCGTACTGTGGCACGGGGGTCTTCCAAGCCAGGTGTATGTGTGCTGGAATGGGGGAGGGGTATTTAGGAGAAGTGTAGGCTTTAGCATAAGCTCAGAGTTTTGAGCCATAACCGTGCCACTGACTGTATCACTTTGGGTGAAACGCTTCAACTTTCTGAGCTCCAATTTCCTTATTTGGAAACTTAAGACTTCGGATGAGAATGTATATACAGGGCCTAGCTCGGCTCTTGGCACATGGCAAGCCATTAATAACTGTTTGCTGAACAGATGTGACAAGATGGTTGATCACCTTCCTGATGATCAGTTACAATTATGGCAAGATTGGAGAGAATGCTCTCATGCCCCTCCCCCGCCAATAAATAAAAATTGGGAGTGGGGGGAGAGAACAGCGAAGAGGCACCATGGAGACCCAGTCACCCTCAGCTATACTAGTCTGTGTGATCTTCAGCAAGCCCCCCGAGGTCTCAGCCTTCTCATCTGTATATCGAGGGGTGGGCATTGGAATCTAAGCTCCCCTCCAGCTTGGGCATTCCAAGAGCATTAAAGAAAAAGGGTGAATCACCCCTTCAAAATACCAGTATGGGCTGGGCCCTCCGCCTGCTGTCCACGTCCAGCACAGCTAAGAGCTCTTAATGCACAGCCAGCCTCCCCCTGCAGCTGCCACCAAACTTCAAGCCCCTTTCCCAGGAGTCTCAGAAGCAAGACTGATAATGGACCCCTGGCCTTCTCCATCTCAACAGGGAATCAGATCCCATTCCCAGACTCCAGGGGCCAGAGGGCCCTCCCCTAAGGGGGCTGGCTTTCCGTGGACATTTGGCCTCCGAGTGCGTGTGCGTCAAGTGTGGGGGTGCTGGAAGGGCGGTAGGAAGGGGAAAAAGGGAGGAGTTGAAAACAGAAGAGGGTTGATGAGTGAATTGGGGCAATTGGGGCAGGAGGACTAGGGTGCTGGGAAACCTTGCCATTCTCTTCCAGGATTCTGAAAAAAGTGGAAGTGCCTGTATCAGTAATAGTGATAAATCTCCATTCTGCGGGGCGGGCGGGGGGGGGGGCGCGTAAATTCACAGACACGGGCTGTCAAAGCCTCAGAAGACACCGAGATCCATTTTTCTTCTTACAGGAGGTAGACACGAGGTGACCGCAGAGGACAGCTTCTGGCCTCTCTGCCCAGAGCGCTCTACTCCTTTCCGCGTTGATGCTATTATTAGTATTATCAACATTAATAATAATGGAGACGTAACCGGCTGTGCCTTAGTCACGAGGTTCCAGGAGCCAGCGCCGCCTTCGCTCCCCTGTGGGGCTGGCTGGGTTCTGCTGGATCTTCTCTGCTGGTCCGGAACCGCTGCGGGCCTGCCCTTTGGGTCTGTCTGTCCAGGGGTCTGTCTACTGCTGGTCACGTCTGCAGCCCGGGTCCTCCTAGCTCCCGCGGACTCCCGCTCTGAAAGCCGAGAAGCTCGCCGGCTGCGAGCGGGTTTTCCAAGTGGGCAGGGGTGGGGAGGAGGGGCAGGCGGGCCAGCGGGCGGAGGGAGGAGGGGGCGTCGCGAGGGGAAGACCTCGCATTGTAATCCAATGACATTGCCAACGTGGGGGCGGGGGCGCCGGCCTCGGCGCGCTCTCCGAGTTTTGGCTGCCCGCCCAGCTGGGAATAACTCTCTTCGCATAATTCGCGTGTTTACCAGGCATGAAAATTCTTGCTTTCGGCTCCCCCCGCCCCGTAAGCCCCCTCCCCTTCCCCCCCCGCCCCACCACCCCCGCCCTGTGCAAGAGAGATTCTGTCTAAAAAAATATTGGCCCGGGGCACAGAAAGTTTTGCATAAATTCATAAGTGATGAATGGCTGATTTTAACATTATTTGGGTATTTGTCAGAACTTAACAAATATACATGGGGACGGCGGTTCATAAACTTAAACATCTCAATATCCCCTTTCTTCTGGAAATAAATTACGTTTGTTTGCCGGGCTTGGAGTCTTAAGGTAGCCGACATTAGGAATATTTTAAAAGCCATCATCCATCGAGCATGTCTCCCAGGCGCCAGGAAGATTAAATGAAAGAATCATAAGATGGAGGTCTTTAACTTTTAATCCTTTTACAATGAAGCCTCAGATAGTCGCGGGGGCAGGGTGCCCTCTCTGGGGGGAATAATGCCGTTATTCCTCTGCTCCCGGTTAATGAATACCCTAACGTCTGTCCCACGGCTGACGGAGGCAGCGCCGGGGAGGGGGTCCGGCTCCCGAGCCAGGCTATTGAAACGAGGAGCCACGGAGACTGCGTCGGGAGGGAAGAAAGCGCCCGGCTGGAGGGACGGGGCGGGCGGGGCCGGGGGCTCGGCGGCTGCGCCGGGGACCAGCGCAGGTTTGAAATAATTAGCATAGATTCCCCGGGACTCCGGCCTGGGGGGCGGGACGCCGGGAGGGAGGCGCGGGGAGGTGGCCAGGCGGTGGGGAGGGAGCACAGGAGAGCGACTTCGGAGTCCAAGATAAATAAAAGGAGTGCTGAGCGGTGTCAGGAAGCCGGCCCACGTGGAGCGGCGCGGATGGGCGCCACCGCGGGCTGAGGCGCAGGGACGCGCGCGAGTCCCGAGCCGGCCTCTGGACGCTGCCTTCTCGAGGGGTGGGGTGGGGGGCATGTTTTGCACGTCCCTTTAAGAGGTCACAGGTCTGTTACCCCTTACGGAACCCACAGGCTCAAAGATCTGACTCCGATTTCGCCCCCCTCTCCCACCCCCACGTGGAGTTAAGTGTCCAGAGCGGGGCACGCCCGGTGCCCAGCTGTAGATCCCCGGGGGTGACGTTTTTTCACCCAAATTCGGACTCCTCTGAGCCCTCCTTAGGTCTCAGGGGAGGGAGGAGGAGGTGAGTGTCAAATCTACCAGCTATTCCCAGCAATTCTGGCTGAGGGCCTGGATTTCGGGGCCTCAGACCTGCAGGACCCTGGAGGCTGTGAGTGTCGATTCCAAGAGATCCCCTCCCCATAGCTTCCGGGAGTGCAAAGGGTTAACGCGGGCGGGTTGTTGGGGGGGGGGTGTGCGAAGCGGGACGGGTGGCGGGATCTGGGTGGGCGCGCTCTGATCTCCCTCCTCCACCTCCCCCCCCCCCCCCATTCCTCGGGGGTCAAGTTTCAGCGGCACTCCGCCCCTAGGGTAGGTGTGAAAGACACGTGTCCCCATTGTGAAGGGCCTGTCAGGCAGGACAAAGCGGCCGCCCACCCTCCCCCCCCCCCACCCCCGCCCCTCGGCCCAGCCTGGGGTCAGCTCCAGGGGGCCGGCTGGGTGTCGAGGTCACGATGGGCCCGAGCTTTGGTGACATAGGGAGAAAAGGCTGGGAGACTGGGCGGAGGCCACGTGATGCTCAAGTGAGGAGTTTGAGAATAGCCCCCCCCCCCAATGAAAAACTGAGCGGTCACTTCCATCACCCCAGAAGAAGGGATGAGCCCCTTCTCCCAACAGGCAGAGTAAGCACAGCGGCGCCCCCTACCCGCCCCCCCACCCCCAACCCCCCATCAATCACCAACACAGAGAATCGCAGTGTGGAGCGCAGTCGGTTTTAGTGGTTTTCTTTAATCCTGCTCTGCACTTCTTTCTCATTTACTACACGGGATATTATAAAGAATAAATAGCAGATACTCTTAATTTACAATGATTAGTCATTCCATTTGTTCTCTATATTTACAATAACTGTAAAATAACATTGAACTCTATAGCTTCTTCGAGGTCCAAGGAAAACCAAAACACTTTCCGAAGAATGGAAAATAGCTTTTTAAAAGTCCCTCTACAAAAGTTCTCCCCTCTCTTTGTACTTTAAGAAAAAATAACTTTCCCCCCCACCCCTGCTTCGCCATGCGAAGGGCACTGTAATATAAATAGCAGGTTAACATTATTAGCAACAACCAGAATAAGTCTCTCTTTTCTCTGTTCGTTTTTTCCTTTTGCTTAAAAATTTTTTAAAAATACAGTAGAAGCCGGTAACTTTTAACGTATAATACTGACCTTTTAATAAGTAAATTAAAACTGGGACCGTATATACACACAGATATACATTCCTACACAGTTAAACAGTGCATTACATGAACCAGAAAGCTAGGTCTCTGTAGCAAAAAAAAAAAAAAAAAAAAAAAAAAAAAGTTCATTGAATCCCCTCGCGAGAGGGTGGTGGACCGTGCGGGGGGCGTCGGTGGGGATCGATCAAGTGTCCGGGTGCGGGCGGGGGGCCCTGAGTTCTAGCATGAGCACTTGCACTCGGAAATGATGGGGTACTGGATGGGAATCCAGCCGCAGCGCTGGCCCCCGCGCCGCTGACAGCGCCACCGCAGCACCGTGAGGTGCACGGATTTGGACGGCTTGCACACCATGCCCTCGGGCACCGAGCACGAGCGCTTGCTGAAGCAGCTGCCCACCTTCACGTAGCGCGGCCAGAAGCGGCTGCCCAGGTCGTTCCACGCGTACAGCACCGGGCAGAAGGTCTGCGACCACAGCCACATCTGTAACTTCCTCCGCAGCTTCTTGCTCAGGCGCTGCTTCTTGCCCGGGGCCAAGCCCTCGGAGAACTCCAGGGCTTTGATCTCGCTCGGCATGGCCCCCGACGGCCGCTGCCGCAGCAGCTGGTCCAGCTCGGCCAGGTCCTCGGCGCCCCCGGCCGCCACCCCGCCCCCGCCCGGCCGGTCCTCGGGGGGCGAGGTGGCCATGAAACCCGGGTCGTAGTGGCCCCCGAGCAGCGAGCGCAGCAGCGTCTCGTTCAGATCCTTCTCCTTGGGGTCAAAGATAGGGTCCGGGTGTTCGATGAGGTCCACCAGAGGCAGGTTGTCGCTGGGAGCCGGGCGGATGTGGAGATAGTGCTGGCCGCCGGCCGGTGCCACCCGCAGCCCCAGGACCACCACCAGGGCGTAGAGGGTGACCCCCAGACTGGGGCAGCGCTCCATGCCTCCGGCGCGCGCCCGGGGCTGCTGCTTCGTCCCGCGTCCCCGGAGGAGAGCACGCCGAGCCCGCGGCGCTGCCGCGCTCCCCCGTCTCTCCGGAGGCGGCTCACCCGAGGCTGGGCAGGCGCAGGGCCGGCAGCATGAGTCGCCCGCAGAGCCCTTCGCGCGGCGCCGGCTCCCACCCGGGCGGAAAGGAGGCGCGCAAGCGGGCCGCCACTCTCCTCCCGGCTCTACGAGGGCAGGCGGCCGCGGCGGGGCATCCGAAACCACTCCAGGGCGACCGCGGGCGCGGGGGGCGCCGGCTGCTCGCTGCCTTCCCGGGCCGGCGGCGGCGCGGGGCGCGTGGACGGGCCGCTCTCCCCGCCTCCTTCTCCCGCGGCTCGGCGTCCGGCCGCTCGGGGCAGCGCCGCGCCTAGGGCCGGTCCTCGGGGCACTTCCCTCCGCCCGCTCGGGGCTCGGCGGCCGGCTCTGCCCGGCGGACTCCAGCGGCGGCGGCGGCGGCGGCGGCGGCGGCGTCCGCGCACGTTGGCACCGGTTTGTCTGTCTCGCAGGGTCCAAGCCTTTAAATTTCCTGCACTTTCAGCTCCATCACCATGGAAACCACTGACTCTCTCGGCGTTGCCCCCTCCCCCTTCTTCCCCCCAAACAACAACCCCACCCCCCACTTCTCCACCCCCGAGGAGCCGGAGCCGCACAGGCTCCGGGGGAAGCCGCCTGCACTCGCCGCGGAGGCGGCGGCGGCGGCTTCGAAAGCGCCCGGGCTGTGCCCCGCCGGACCCAGATGCCCCGGGAAGCCGACAGCCCGGCTGCCCGCCGGAGCTCACAGGCGGCGGCGGCGGCGGCGGTGGCGCTTGGCAGGTCTCCGCGCAATTTTCTCTCTCCCCCACCACCCACCCCCCTTCTCCTCCTCCGGCAAAATGCACCGCCCCCCTCCTTTCTCCTGGAGCAATGCAACTGGGGCTCTAGGCGCCCCGCCAGGGCCAGTCCCGGGGAAGGCTCGCGGCTGCGCTGGAGCCGGGCTGGAGGGTGCAGGGCCGGTTTTGGGGGGTGGTCGAGGCGGGGGTGGGAAGATCCTCACTAGCTGGGTACTCTGCCCCGGGAGGGGAGCTGCGGGGCGGTGCTGGGGGCTCGCTTCTCGGTGCAGTTCGGTGCAAGGAATGTCTCCATGTGCAGGGAGCTTTTTCCCCGGGCGCGTCTCGCCTTCTTCTTCTCTCCCGGGCTCGGGCTAAGTCCCCTCCCCCTCCCCCCAACGCGCGCGCACAGACACACACACACACACACACACACACACACACTCACACACAGACACACAGACACACACACACACACTTTGCGCCGGAGGACTCCAGGAGCCGCAGCGTTGCGCAGCGTGATGCAATTCCTAGGAAGCCTCCGGCCCGTGTGTTTCCCGGGCCCTCAAGGAGGTTCGGCTCCTCACCCTCCCCGTCCCCTCGGCCGGGCCTGCACCCTGAGTGGCCGAGCTGGAGGGGCGCGTCCGGCTTCAGGGGCTCCCCTAGCCCGCCCGGCTCCGCGCGGCCGCCGCTCGGCTCCCTGGGGGCGGCGCGCCCTCTGCCGGCCCGCGGCGCTCCCTGCACCCGGCGCTGGCGGGGGGGCCGGAGAGGTGGGTTTGTCTGCTGTCCACTTGACCCGACTGGGTTTGTTTCAGTGTCCGCGTCGTTGTGTGGACGTGGGCGTGCTGATGTGCGTGTGTGTGCGTGCGCGCTGACGAGTGAGTCTGCTGCGTACTTCCGAAGAGGAACTGGCGGCAGGGCACCTGAGTCCTGGCCGGGGTCCGCCCTGATGGGGCTGTGTTAACCTCGGGCGAGCCTCTGTTGTAGCACCGCACACCTTACTTTCTGCGTTAGCGACATGACCACGTGACTCTTCCGGATCTACCTTTCCGTGCTTCTGAATAAACCTCCATGATGCTTTCTCTTCCAGGAGCAGTCTGTCTCTGATGGGAGGTGGATATTGAAATGACACTTCCGGTCATTTTTCCTTGAATAAGGGGCTGAATCCAAGCTTAAACAATCAAACTAAGTTTCCTTTGAGGGGCTGTGATTGGAGTCTGGAAAAAGCTGGAGAACAGAGACTCGGCGTGGAAGACTCAAGCATTCACAGCGTTCCACAGAGTGGAGTTAGAAGTCTCGTTTTGACAGCCTGAATCACTCCAGTTCGTTTCCCCAAAGACCTTTTTTTTTCCTTTCAACCTTTGCAGCTTCCCTCCCATCCCACCCCACCCCACCCCACCCCCACGAAACACACACAGAAGTTTATCATCTAAGGAAATACACTTTGTTCCGAGGCACAGTATTTCTGGAAAACCCCAGCAATTGGGAGGGATGGCTAGTTTCAGCTGAAATCAGTTCCTTAAACTTTCAGGTCTAGACAGTATCTAGAATTAGACAATCAAGGTACTGCCTACAAGGAAATCTTGCTTTGAGGAATACAGGAGATAAGAACAACTAACTGGTTGCTTGAATTGCATTGATTCTGAAATAATATGGGACGAGAACCTCGCACACAGTAGGCTCTTAAACAGCACTCCTTTCTTTTTGATGTGCTTTAGGGGGCTTGGCACTGGTTTGTTTTCTTAGGAAGATTAAGTGTTCCAGAACAGTCCTGCCACTGCTGTGAATTAACTAAGAGAATAATTTTTCAGTAAAGAGTTCAAAAGGTTAAATTCTAGCCCAGCTCTCCCGAGATGGCGGGTTCCAGTTAGTGACATTTTCTTGTGCTGTCTTCTCTTCCATTGATCTCCTCTTCTTTCCTTCAGATCACCTGTTTTTGTTTGAAAAGCAGCCCAGATCCTTCAGTCCTTTATTTAGGTGGGGTAGAATGAAAACAAACCACGTCAGACAATAGACTGGGTGACCTGTTTATAGAATGTCCACTGGGTGAAGACTGGGCCGGGGTGGCAGGGGGTGGGGGGGGGGTGGGGTGGGGGTGGGGTGGAGGTGGGAGGTGGTAGACACAAAGGAGAAAGAAGTCACAATCAATTGCTCCCTTCCGAGATGTTTGCAGTCCAGTGAAGGGGGATATGGTAAGTGTATGAAGAAAACTTTAGAAGAGTGTGGGAAAAAAATCTCTAAATTCCCCTAAGAGCATAGACCAGTGTTTTGCAATCTTAAAAAACTCATGCCCACTTTTGGTAAATATTGCAATTTCATGCTATCTTCTGAATGTTTGAAATTTTATAATACATTATGATGATTCCCTGGTGGCTCAGATGGTAAAGAATCTGCCTGCAATGTGGGAGACCCAGGTTTGATCCCTGGGTCAGGAAGATCCCCTGGAGAAGGAAATGGCAACCCATTCCAGTATTCTTGCCTGGAGAATCCCATGGACAGAGGAGCCTGGCAGACTACAGTCCATGGGGTCACAAAGAGTCGGACATGACTGAGCAACTTCACTTTCACTTTCATGATGACCCAAAAAGTTGAAACAATTACAAGCTATACTCTGTTCAAACCACACTTCCTCTTCTTCAGTGTGGAGTTCTGAAATGCCCCACTTGGGGCGCCTGCAATCACTTCCCCCCTCCCTGCCACACTAGCGTAGCCCATATACTTAGGTACTGGGTGAATCTGGGCATGCTGTTTATTAGAAGCTAAGTACTACCAATATCTTAATAGTGAGCTGAACTTTAGCTGGGTTTGGTGAAGAAAAAGGATATATTTATCTGAGTAGATAAAGGAGGAGATTTGAGTTTGCATAAAGAAAGGAAGCACACCATATCAGGGACGGCCAAAAGAGCTGGGGTGTGGGGAATGGGAGAGTAACTGTCATAAACAGAGATGCTCAGCATAAAGACAACCTTCGCAACAGGTGGATCTCAGTTAGAATTCTGGTCCTGCCACTCACCAGCAGGGCTACCTTCTCAACATGGGCATCTTAACTCCAAACTTCCATTTCCTCCTCTGTAGAACGGGGATTACACACACCTCTCACAACTGTGTTCTCTATCTTTTATACAGATAAAGGAGGCTATGCTTAGCTCAGTAACCAGGGCAGGATATACAGTGGGCAATAGATTTCCAACATATGTTAGTTCTTCTGGGAACCCCACCACCCTCGAGTGACCATCTCTGATTTGAGCCAGAGGGGCTTGGTGGGTCTGGGCTTCTGTTGGAATCACCTCCAACACTGTTGGGCCTGCTTTCTGTCCACTCAACGTGTGGAGCTGAGCTGTTCTCCATGGCTCCTGGCCTGCAGGAGCTTAGGGGTGGGGAGCTGTAATTTCTTGGGGGGACTCAACAGCTGACCCATTTCCATGCTTCTGCTGCTCTATTTAAGAAGAAGCTTGACAAGGGGGACAATGTGGGTATATGTATTCAAAAAGAAGCTGTGAGTGGTGGGGAGATTAGCCAAAGGAGGGATGGTTATCAGCTCAGTTTGCTGACCAAGGGGAGCAGGCGAACATCAGGGGGGATTGGCCAGGGCCCTTGGGTCTTGGTAGCCTATGAGGGAAGAGTCTGGTCAACAGCGTGACTGCAAATCCATTCTTGGAGATCTGTGTCCCAACATTCTATCCCTGCCGAGTGCTCTGGTCAAGGGAGACTGAGGCAGCCTTCTGAACAATGGCTTTGGCAACTCCAGGTCAAGGCAGCAGGGCCCCGAGGACATTTACTTATGCATCTTTTCTTATTTTCAGCTGATTCTCAAAACAATTCAATAATCTTGTTTTATTTTATTTTTTGGCCGTGGAAGCCTAGCCCCAAGGAAGCTGTGGGTGACATGCAAAGGACGTGGGGCTTGACTTTGGAAAACCAGCCACCTGCCGGCGGTGTGACCCTGGGTGAGTCACCGCACCTCTCTGAGGCCCCATGACACAGAGGGGTCAAGAGACAGGAGGCACCGCAGAGGAGAAGGCGTGTCCACAACTTTTAGGCCCCGCATCATCCCAGGCACACAAAAATTGTCACTCTGATTCTGATGGTCTTTTGGGTCCCCTACATGTTGAATTTGATGGGCTTGCTCTCAGGGAGACCCCAGATGGCATCTTTGGTCTTGACCCGACTGAGCAAAATGAGGACAAGTCAGCCACAAGGCTTGTCACTTTCCTGTCCTGACTGCAGGGGGAATGTGAGAGGGGAGGGGGCTTGTAGGGTGGGGGCTTGGTGGGCACCAGGCAGCCTGCAGGAGGCAGGGGGAGCCCTGGCCAGTTCAGGACCGGCAGCCAGTGCAGCTTGGCCATGAAGTCTGATATTTTGAGCGTGATTATTTCGGTGATGAGATTCCGGCGACAGAGGAGTTCTCAGCGGCATAGGAAGGGGGAGGGGGTGGGAGGCAAGAAAGAGGAGACTGGGAGGGCAACGGGACTCCAGACTGTGGGCTGGGGTGGGAGCATGGATAAATAGATGGGCAGTGCGTTTGCAGAGAGAGCGGCAAAGCTAAAGCAAAGGCCGAGGGAGCC